CCAAATGGCCAATTCTCAACATCTTGCGTTTGCCATGGGCCTTGTGGGCTTTTGACACCTTGATTTCGGCCTTTTTTGCCAGTCTTACCTCCTACCTATCATGGAACATGTTGTTCGACGATGTACAGGTGTCAAGGTCAAGGTCAAGGTCAGCCTAGGTCATCTAAGATAATCGCGTTTTAGGCAAGGTGAATTTACTTTTTGTGAAGTTTTTTGACTGCATTTTTGGTAAAAGCTTCTCAGATCATGATTTCATGTAATATGGACACAAAAACAATCGGTGCACACATCAGTATACACACAGACACACACAGACATACAAACACATATAATTGACCTTGACCTAACTTGACCTGAGATGACCTCAGCAGCAACAATCTGGTCAGGTAGTGTGACAAAGAGGTTCTAGCTGGCTTGGCACCAGAAAACAGCATCGTCATCGGTATATGATAAGCAGCGCACTCATAGGTGTAGCAACGTATCTCTTTGGTGAAGGATACCTTTCACCAAAGTTTTAGATTGGTGAAGGATCCTTCACCAATCTTGAGCAATGCAGGTGAGGGTCTTCACCAATGCTAGAACGACTGGGTTCGACGGTCGATCTAATGTTAAAAAAAGAAAAGCAATGCCGAATGGGATGAACAAAAAGGCTAAAACGGCAACAGGTACCCAATTACCCCATCCTTTCAGTTATGAAGTGTTATGCCCACCTTCTATCTTCACAATTCACGCCATTTAATAAATGATAGGTAAAGCCGAAAACTGTATTGAAGTTGGTAAACGTGTAAATGTGTCTCAGTAAATGCCGTGAATATCAAAATAAATTGGCTTGTTTTTACTCGTGGGAAAGTTGTAAGACTTTGGTCACGAAAAAAGAGCAGTGGAGCATACCTTTAGGTTCCAAAGGTATGCTTGGATAGTGGATACCTTTGGTAGGTATCCAAAGGTATGCTTGGATACCTAAAAATTCAATTTTAGGCACGTACTGAAAAGTTGGCGTTAATTAGATGATAATGGCGTGAGACATTTGCGAGAAAAAAAAACAGGAGTTAGCGAAATTCCCCCCCCCCCTCCACTGCGGTAAGGTCCTGCACCTTCTCCGAAGGTTCAGGTGACTTCTCCGAAGGTTCAGGTGACATCCTTCACCAATATTTTTGGCGCTCCTACACCCATGAGCGCACTTGATATCCAACGGTGACCCAAAACAGCAACATTATTTAGTTTGACCTGACCTGGAAGGTCAATGACTGACCTGAGAAGGTAAAACTGGGTATCATTGGATTCGTCTCCTCCCAAAGAATCTTTTTGGTCTTTACCGCTAAGCTCTATCTCCAACAGGAACGAAATGGCGCGGGGGGGGGGGCAACCCCCCCCCCCCCATGTGCGTTCTAGGATGGGAAAATGGCATGTGCGGGCGAGGGTTAAGTTACTTCGATAGCAGTTTTTAAGACCAACGAGCTCGAAAACAACAACTTCTTGAATAATGTAAGCATAATATAAAATGAATCGTGAGAGAAGCGGCTCAAGATTGAGGAGCTATGAGACACTTAATAAAAAAACGGCATAGATTAGAACCAGCACTTAACTTGCACTGCCGTTTTTAAACCTTTCCGCTGCAGACTGGTAGATCAAATTTTAGGATTGATTTCATCTGACGCTCAAATGATGTAGAGCTTTTCATTCGTTCATTCATGCGACCATCCATTCATAAAAGAACTAAATCAAAGTTGAGAGCCCCAAATACGTAACACAATTGAGGGCATTTTAGGCCATCACATCACAGTATTTGTCAACAATTGTTGTTGGGGGAGGGGGGGGGGGTACTGGGGAGGGTGGTTGCTGGCTCATAAACTGTAAAAAACCGAACCGATCATCCGCGAATGAACTATTGAGCTCGAACCGAGCTGACGAATCGATTTATAGGTATGCAACATGACTCACGATGCCACTTTTTGACTTCTTGTGTCGGTATAAATTCCATCATCTGGATAGCACGTCAACATTCTATTTGAAATTTTGCAATAAACGTATACTAATTGGCGCGATTAGCCTCAGAAATGTTCTGAAACTAAAACTGTTACTTTGCAACTAACTTTGCCCACGTCATCCCAGCTTATGCACGACAAAAATAAAATAATGCTTCAGGGTCACTGGCCTGAATTCCAATGCTTAAGGTTTACTTAAAACCGGTGTGCCTGAGGCACTATTCGCTACACCTCGTGACGGCCACCATTGTGTTGCATCTTTTCGGTAACTGGTAAGCTATAACTTAATAAGGAAAGGATTGTGAGTGTGTTGAAAACAGCCCTCCCCCCTCCTTCTTCTGGAAACATAAGTATTCGAAAGATCAGGCGGCAATGGTTTATCCACCTCGTCTGCCGCCGCGCTGCGAGGCCTCGATTCGTTCAGTATGTGGCTTCCTGAGCGGTCCCCCCGGAGGCAAGGTGAAAGGGCATGGCCTATATCATAAATTTACACGTTTCTGAATACGTTTTACAGTTCTTCCAAGGCCTTGGACACCGTTTTATTATATCGGATAAGCATTGCACTTTCTTGTTAATCAATAAATTTAAAGAAAACTTTATCATAATCTCATACTGCGGCAATTGTAGTTCTGCTTACGGTTGCCTTTTTATGATACGGGCCACCACCACCTCCACTGCGGCGGAGCTCTGGCGTTCTACCCCTCCCCGCTACGGACCGGCCCTCGGGCTAGGTGTGTTAGTACTGAGCGCAAACGTGTAGTAGTCACGTGACTTTCATTCACGTAGCGGGAGCGGGAGCTAGTGGCGATACCAATTACCAAGGACGGGCTCTGGGGAGGCAACCGGCACAGAAAAATAGCACGATTGTAGTTTCGGAAGAATATCTGTTGCGGTAAGAGGAATTATGCAAAACATTTGTCCTAGAAGCAAACATGTGTTATTCCTCCATAATTTGCGCTACATTTGCCTTCTCCAATGGCCAGCACTTGGCAAATAATAGCACAATTCTAATTTGGTAATATATGTGTACAGTAGCAACTGCGGGTCCCTGTACCTATGTAGCAAAATAAATTCACTAATCACTGGGGCGTCTTGCCCAAGGCTACACTACTTTAAACCCCACGTACATTTGCTATACGTAGGCTTTTGTACGTGACGTACCTACTTTTGTCCATACGTACTTTATACCCTACGTACTTCTGCAATACGTACTTTTGTCCGTGACGTACTTTTGTCCATGCGTACTTTTTACCCTACGTACATTAGCTATACGTACTTTTGTCCGTGACGTACTTTTGTCCATACGTACTTTATACCCTACGTACTTCTGCGATACGTACTTTTGTCCCTGACGTACTTTTGTCCATACGTACTTTATACAGTACGTACTTCTGCGATACGTACTTTTGTCCCTGACGTACTTTTGTCCATACGTACTTTATACTGTACGTACTTCTGCGATACGTACTTTTGTCCTTGACGTACTTTTGTCCATACGTACTTTATATTGGACGCCATTTAATCGGGTCCTAAAAAAAAGCTATTCCTGGCACTAAATAGCTGTTCCAGCCTAAAATTGGTCGGCAGCACCTATTTGGCTAGAACCAGCACCTACGGCCAAAATTGACCCAATTTAGCTGTTTCTGGCACTAATTCTTCGGTATTTCTGCCCTGAATGCTGAACGTAGGACCTAAATGCTGAACGTAGCACCTATCTAGGAGGAAAACAGATGGCAGCACAGTCGAGTCGAGCTTTTTGGCATAATATTCCATGAAATCTAGTCTATATAGTTGCCAGTCCAGTTGTATTCCAAGGCATGACTCGGACGCGCTGGCTGGAGGAGCCCGGCGGCTGACAGCGCGTGGGAGCGGAGGATTCCCTCTGTCGGCCGGCCGGCAGATCCCGCGCGAGGAAGAGTCGAGAGAGGGGCAGTTGAGTGGATAGCCGTACGGGACTGGGACGAGATCGTGATATTGTGGATATTGTCATTGTGGTATTGCGTGCACGGGTGCATGGCAGTGGCATTTCTTCGTCCGCAACTTATCCTACCTTTCTTACCATCTTACCTAGCCTAAAGGAAAATGTAATATAATTGTTAATCGAAGTGTAGCGTGTGTTTGTGTTTTTGCTGGGGGACTGCATTTGGGGCTGGGCAGAGGTAGAGCTGCCGGTTCGATGGCCGGAGATGTGATATCGCGCGTTCGGATGGCCGGAGTCCGGCGCCGGCGGCGGGCACAGACAGTTGGGACTTGGGTTTACCATTCAGGCACCGCCGTGTGCCAGCATGTGACGAAGATTTGTCGGGAAGGATACCGCTCACTTTTTCTAAGAAACTCCGACGTTTGTGGTCATATGTTCGCCTGCGTATGCCGCTTGGACCGGAAATGTTATGTTTCCCATTGTCAAAAGCGTGCCATGAATGCACCTAATGTAAATTATCTGTCTGATATGGTTAAGTGAATCCGAGAAAAGGGCCGCAAATAGGCTGGGTAAATGCGAAGGGATATAGGTGCTGAAATGCAATTCTGGTGCCAATTCAGCAATCACTCCGACTAGACCATCTGGCAACATAAGGCTACTTGTCAGCATTTTAGTGCCAGATTCAGTTATTAGGTGCTAGTAAGCTTTTTGGTGCCAGTCAGCAATTAGGTGCTAGAAACAGCTATTTAGGGATCCGAAACAAATATTCCCCCTTTATATTGTACGTACTTCTGCGATACGTACTTTTGTCCCTGACGTACTTTTGTCCATACGTACTTTATACTGTACGTACTTTTGCGATACGTACTTTAATCATACGTACTTTTGCTTCGTACTTTTGTCCTACGTACATACTTTAGCGATACGTACTTTTGTCCGTAACCCATCGCCCCATCGCTAGGAGGGACAAAATCCCTGCACTGGAGCGGCAGGTGGCGTATTCGGACGGACTGTATCCGTACAAGAGGTCGCACCAGTCGCTTGGACGCCGCCCGGCCCGCGGCGGCCGACGGAGCCAGCACTGCCCAGCTCTCAGGGCCACGATCCGGCTCCGGTCCCAGCCACCCATCGGCCCCGTCTCGGCGCTCAGTGTCGGCCGGCGGTGCGCGGGGCGCGGTTGGCGCGAGTGGGCCGCCGAGGAGCCCCGAAATGCGCGCGGCTCTGAGCGCGCTCGTGATGTTCCGCACGGCGCTGCTGGTGGTGGTGCTGCTGCTGGGACTGAAGGCAGAGCCAGGTCAGTGTCTGGGGGATCAGAGGGCGCCGACGGTCGTCTGCTCTGCCCTGGAAGTCCCCACGCACGTGGGAGGAAGCATGTTTGGCCGCATGTGTGACCACTTGGTGTTGACTTTTCGTGGTAACCCAGCGTCTCGTTCGTAACGATGGATTCCAATTCAGCAGCCCCCATGAGAGGGTGTAATCAGCCGTTTCAGTTTTGATAGATGAAATTAATGCTCTCTAATGATATTCTCAGTGTACACGATAGGTGTGTCAGTGTGGATGTCATTACAGAACACGTACTCATATAACCTGCACGACTGGTATGTGACACATAGTCAATTATTTGTGACAATAACCGAACAGTGTTCAAAGTAAGCAAATAGCATGTATAGGTGAGATGGCCATTGTGCAGTGTGCTTCTTTACACGAGCTTGAAATAGTACCGTATCAGTATCCAGCTACTCCTGAGCCGTTTCAAGTACCTAAATTATCAGCAAGCAGTTAGTCCGGAACACCGAGAAGAAACTCAATAAATGTTGTCATTTCGGGGGATTTCACGTCCGTGTTTCTCAGGTGCTCGCATCATCACCCGTTTCTTGAAAACTTCAGTTCCTATGCAACGTGACCTTGGATTGGAAGAAGCGTTGCATGGCAAAATATTGATTAGTTTAACGGCGGATCATGTTGCGGATCATTTTAAAATTATTTTACTCGAAAATGATCTCCAAGAACCGGCAATTATTTCCGTATTAGTATCAACCGTTTCAACTGCGATTCAATGCCCAATGCTGGCACGGCGAAAAGAGGGGAGACTGGAGAGTATCGGGAGTGACGTGCTGCAGTGGCGGATCCAGGGGGGGCAAAATGGGCATTTGCCCCCCCCCCCCAAACGGCATAATTTTAACATTACGCCTATGGACGAGGCATGGAAAGAATCGATAAATTGTTATGGCTTGCCCCCCCCCCAAAAAAAACTCTGAGCTGGATCCGCCTCTGACGTGCCGCGTGACGTTGAATATTGTGCCCCGTAGATCGGAATTCAGCACACCTGGGGCGCACCTCGTATGATGTAATTGGGCATGTAAACAGAATGCAGCTTCCGGGCTTATTCATATGTTACTGTATATATCCTCCTTATAATATTTGTTATATACATGCATTCGTTATGTGTTATGTGCAGTGTTACAGCGAATCGACGAACCGCAGGACCAAAAATGTTCGGTGAAACGATTAGCGATGATGGATATTATATTGTACCTACTGGAAACTATTTGAGCGAGATGACCAAAATAATTGATGCGTGATACGATTACGAAACGACGAGATGAGATGAACGAATATGAATGGCGAATGACTGAAATAATTCAGCAAGACGAGTCGACCAGTTAATTCAAGTGCGGTGCGAATACGAAAACCGATAACGATGTTTTTGAAACACACAAATTCCAAGCCCTTGAAGTCTCCATATAGTCTTTATTAGTGATGTCAATTACGGAAAATCGGAATACCGATACCAAACCCGACCAACCAAAACCACGGGAAAACACCGAAACCAAACCGACTTGGGAAACTGAGGGAAATACCAACTTTTTAACCGATTTCTTAGCCTCTTATACATTAGTGAGGGCTTATGATACCAACAAAATACCAAACACATTACGATTGAAATACCTACCAAATACCAAGTTGGTATCGGTTTGGTATCGGTATACCAAAAAGTTGGTATCCGATTGACATCTCTAGTCTTTATCCATACATACATGTATCGCATAGTCTTTTTTAAGTCTTTTAATTACACAAAAAATACATCCATTTTCATAACCTCGTGACCTTAGCCTCAGTTATCTTGGTGCGATAACTAACCGACAGCAATGCTTTAAAAAGTTCTAGCAATTGGGCGTAGCGTTGGCAGGTTATTGGAGGTCTCGAGCGACATTGCTAGTGAGTGGAGAGGGTCTGGACCGTGCCGCAGCACTCTGCTGACCCAGCTCCCCACTGCACTGCGGCACATCCCACGGCGCAGGCCGGCCGACCCCCAACAGTCAGAAAAATACTCCCGTCCCAATAAGGTGGGCAGTCCGGCTGGGAGCGTTCTGCTGTCCCGGTGTCATATGGCTTCCCGGTCCATTTTCGTGTCGTGGCTGATGGTCAGGTGGGCCAAACCGCAGGTGGCGGTATCGTGCCTCCCCGCCCCCCTTGACGTCGTGCCGTGCCACAGGCCCCGTGGCGCTGCCTCTTTCGTGCGTGATGTGGTATGCGCAATGTCGACATTCAATAGGAGGCACGTGATGAGCGAGTTGCCTCATGGCCAAAGATGGAAGAGAGAGAGGGAGAGAGAGAGAGAGAGAAAGAGAGAGTAAGAGTGAGGGAGATGGGAGGAGGGGAAGAGAGAAGAGAAGGAGAGAGGAAAGAGAAGAGAGATAGGGAGATAAGAGAGAGGGATGGGAGAGAAAAGAGGAGAGGAGAGGAGGAGAAAGAGAGAGAATAGAGGGAGAAAGAGAGAGAGAGAGGAGAGAGAAGAGGGAGATATGGGAGATGGAGATGCGGGAGAGAGAGAGAGGAAGGAGAGCGGAGAGAGATAAAAAAGGGAACGGGGTAGAAATTTAGAGAGAGGGGAGAGGAGAAAGGGAGAGAGGGAGGGTGGGGAGGGGAAGAAAGGGAGAGAGGGGGCGGGGTTTGGCAGAAAGGGAGAGAGTGGGGCAGAGAGGGAGGGGGAGGGTGAAGAGGGGAGGAAGGGGAGTGGAGAAAAAGGAAGAAGGGAAGGGAGAGAAAGGGAGAGCCACTTGTTGGTCATAAATGTAAAACACTACAGCACATGATATTTTATATTTTCGGTTGTATTTCGCAGTGCCGTCACTGCCACTCTATCGTTCCGTCCAACAGAGCGACGTTGACATTCAGTGGCACATTCCGACCGACGCCAGTGGACAAAAAGAAAATCTGCCCTGTTGTCTACCCCTGTTATCTGGCCCTGTCGTCCGACCTTGTTCTCCACTCATGCTGTCCACCCTCGTTGCCCGGTCCTGCTATCTTTTGCCGGCACACTCCCAGTCCCTTATCCGCTGTTCGCTCTGCCGCTCACCCTCCGACACTCGCGTTGCCTTCGTTTCTCGCGAGTGAGGCTTGTTTTGCTTGGTTACTCTCCGGCTGAGACGCATCACTGGCAGTTGACTATTAGCGTGAGGGTTTACCTTGGGCCCCAACTACTGAGAGCTCCGACAGACAGGCGTCTGTCTGCTCTGCGTGGCGCACGAGGCGAACGACTCGATCCTATTTACGGCATATGGAAACAGTGGATGCTCTTCTACCCGGTGTTGTAGCGTGACCTAGATTGAATGTAGCTTCAATATATTCACATTAGGTAGCCGTCCTATTTTTGGACACAAACCAAAACACACAGGAACCAGAGCAAAATAAAACTCACGAATCATAGGTACATATTCCCGAGACTTATAAAAAACATTACGCATATGAATTAAGTTCTGAAAGAGTAGACGTTAGTGAACCAGAGGAAGATTATCCCCGCGTTCGATGTCTCCCGGACGACGAAGATTCTATGCCGTCCGGGCCCGAAATGCCGTTCGATGTCGCACGGACGGCAAAGATTCTACGTGACGTCACGTAGAATCTTTGCCGTCCGCGCAGAATCTTTTGAGCGTACTACGGTGGGCAGAGAGGCAGTGATGGCGCGTATTTCAAAAGCGGCGCAGCAGCTGTTTGCAGAAGTTGTTGACATTTGTGCGCGGTCTCTATGGAAACGTAAACTTGGGCCCACTGAACTCTATAATGCTTGGGCCCTTTTCGAAACTGACGCACATTGTGTAAGTGACGCACAAAATGGCCGGCCTCGTCGTCCGACTGTGTGCTTCATCGAACGCAAAATAGAATATTCTGCGTAGAATGTTCTTCGTCCGAGGAGACATCGAACGCGGCCTATACCAGATGTAGATAGACGTCAGTGGTTCGTGGTATCATTAGCGAGGGGTTCTCGGCCGGCCAGCAGAGCAGTGCGGGACCGTCCTGTCCCGGTGATGGGGAGGAGGGGTCAGGGGAGGCTGCACCGCCGGAAACTCCATGTAATTAGAACACACGTATTTCCGGTCATGGGGCTGACGTTGGCAGCGGCGGCTGGCGGCCAGCACCCGTCATGGGACCCTGCCGAGGGCCGGGCGGAGGGCGGCCGTGGAAGTGGCCAGCTCAGAGCCTGGCGCTGCTCCGCGCTACCCCCGTCCATGCTATCCTGTAAATGCCAGGCGTCAAGTGAGCCGAGATCAGTTCACATGTGGCCTGCAACACTGTGAGTAACATTGACGTGTTTTGGTAGCCTGGCTGCAATCGGAGCTCTCCAGCGGTCCTGCTGCTCGGCTCATGGATACGTCCACCGATTTAGCCATCCACGCAGCTTCAGCGCTGGCTGACGGAGCCAAACCATCGTGTTTGACGCCCGCCGTCTCGCCCGCCCCCTCAGCCCCGGCCGACAGCCCCGGTCTCGGCGGCGGCTGGCCATTTCCCGTCGGTGCCCGCCGTCTGTTGAGTCTGTCGACGACGACGGCCGTACGGGAAGCGGGCTTATAAATAGCCCCAGGCAGTGCCGGGTCAAGCTTTCGGAGCTACGGACGTCAGTGGAGCGGCATTGCGGACTTTGATAGGCCAGGGCGGTCACGGCTGCCATCGTGTTTAGTGGCGTCAGGTCTGTCCAGAATCGTCGCCTGCAATGGACTTGTTGTAAAGTTCCGACATCTTTCAAGGGCGTATGGCGGACACTCGGAAAGGTTCAAAGTCAAAATTACGTCTTTTTGCCCTGCAGATTGGAAATGATCTATAGGTAAGTAGTTTTAATGCCCCTAGTGACCCTAAATCTCACTTGACGGCCTCAGACCTGAAATCTAATGCATGTAGGTATGGTTACTGGTTAGTGGTTACCTGTCTGACTCTGGTATAAGCCATCGCTAAGTTTCGCTCATATTTAAATACTCATTATTTTCTGCACCTTTTACCGTGTTCTATATCCCTACC